TAGCTTTATATTCTAAAAATATTATTTTATCCTTTTATTATATAAAAAAAAGATTTACACACAATAATTATAAAATATAAATATCTTAATAAATGAAATATTCTATCGATTAATATTTTAATAATTATATTTTCTATCGAAACAAAATTTGAATTGATCTATCACATTTATTTGGCAATTTAAAAAGCATAGTCCCGAAAAAATTTTTAGTTTCAATTTTTCGTAATTTGGAAACAATTGAGATTTTTGTAAAAAAATGAAAAATATGTTAATATATATTTAAATATAAATGCGCACGTGATATACCAATCTTAAAGTCGCGCAGAAATTTTACGTTGACAAGGCATTAGAACGGAAGAGAGAAGAAAAAAAACGAAATGTAAAGGAAAAAAGAGACAGGTGAGCGTTTCTAACGACACTTTCATACTCGAGTCAGCTTCTCTCTCGCACGATTCCACCGATAAAACTTTCTTCATGAATATTTTATAAGCTGATCCAAGTGATACAACCCTCGGCCAACGATGCATCATCGCCGATGCTTTTCCACGAATATCCTTGATCGAGAACGGCTCGATCCTTTCCCTATTCTTGATCCGTGTCGGCAGGAGTCCGCGGCAGCATGGCGCTATCCTCACATACGAGCTTAGATGTACATACACGATTCCCCATGTGTTCAACCTTAGGCATATATTGTACATAGATTAAAGTATACACTATTAAGGGCACTTAAACCCGATTATAAACGCATATTTGAGTAGTATAAGGTATAAACGGTGATGAGAGAGAGAAAAAAAGAAGTGCGTTTTGATAACGGCTCTGATAGTGCTCATTCCTTCTTCGATCGAACGTAAAAATTTCTGGTGATAAACGATCGTACATATTTCACATTCTTAACCCATTATTTGCTTCGAATCTATCACATAGAGAGAGAGAGAGAGAGAGAGAGAGAGAGAGAGAGAGAGAGAGAGAGAAAAGAGAGAGAACCACAAGTCTGTTTTTAAGAATACATTTATATAATCAATTGAAAGATTAGGGTCTTGTCCTTCATGATAATATCTTATATGGATTCACATACAAATACACTTATAATATGTATTTGTAAACGTATCTGTGATGTACAAAACATATTATGCAAAAATAAAATCCCATTTCTTTTAATTAAATTATATTAAAAAAGGGAAAAAATAAAACTTTAAATATAAAATCAGGTGACAATAATCTAATAAAAAATATATAGAAACATAATCTTCCTTTTTTAATTTTGAAGATATTCGAGAAAGATGCACGCGTGTGTTCATATCTTTACGGATTGATAATCATATCGCACGTAGAAGACGCATCGATAATGTAAGACATTCTCTGTATTTTTCATCAAAACTTTCAATGGCGCCTGATATGAATGTGCGTCATAGTACATCAATTCTTTTAATTCCCATCTAATCGCATTCTTTTTACAACGTTGTATAGCTGTCAAGCTTACTCACGTCATCGCACAACTTCTTTCTCACCGAGTACCGACTTGGTACTTCATCGTCTCTGCTCGCTCATCATCCCTTTATCCACCTCGCCCTCTCGTGTATTTGTTTTATATTTCATCGCATCGAATCTAAAGCTCCGTGACATGTGGAGTATGTTTGACACACGAGTCATCGTCTTTTATTTAGGGATCCTGCGCGGAATACATTTTTATCTTTAGCTCCAAGCCAACTTCTCTTCATCCGCGTGCCATCCGGATCTTTGCGACAAACTATATCTTCCGGGAAGATATAGTTGTCTTCTTTCTTCCATTGTTTTGATCCGTCGGTTCGTGCCGTTTGACTTTCTTTGCGCTCTCGTCTCCGTTTAATCGACGCATTTCTCCGATGACCCGCGTCTTTCGCTGCTGCATACTTTCTTTCTTCCGTTCACGTTTTGCCTTGTGCGCTACGCTCTGCATCCTGTGTGTCTCGCTTTCTCCAGAGGATTTTTGAAATCATTCCATCTCGCTTCGACCGATGCTGGCCTTTGTTGTCTCTTTCTATTAGCTGTCTCCATCGTCATCGCTGTCTCTGTCTCATCAGCATTCTCCACTCTTGTTTTATCTTTATCGTGCCTTCGCACGCACTTTTTCGCCTTCCCTCTTTCACCCGATTCATTCCCGATCTTCCATCTTTCTGATCTCATATCGCCTCGCTTCAACCATCCGTGCATCCGTCTCTGTTTCTCCAACCCTCTCTGTCATTGTCCTTCTCCTTCTCGTCTCAACCGCTGCGAGTGTCTCTCTTCAACATCACTCTTCGCGCCGTGTCCTCTTTCTTCAACCCCCATTCTCTCTCTTCATCTATCATTCTCCCCGAGCTCTATCCTTCTCTCACACTCTCTCTTTCTCTCTATAGCTATCTCCCACCAACCCACACACACCCTCCACCGTCGTCAAGCGCCGGTTCCGTGCGGATTGGTCCTGCGCGCTAGGGGATGCTGCGAGATAATCGCATCCTCTCGCCCCTCGCCTAACCAACCCCCGCAAGACACCCCGCATCGAGGGAAGCAGCAGTGAGAGCCAGGCCGCCGCCATAGCCGCTCCCCGGGCAACGAAGGAGGAGAAACCGGCGAACCATTCTCTCTCTTCCTCTCTCCCCCCACTGTTTCTCTCCGTTTCTCGCTCTTTCCGTCTCTGTCCGACACTCCCGGGTGTCTGCGTTGCGGTGGCGACGTTTTAACCTATATATTCCGGACTGGAATTTTACCAGCGTGACTCGTCGTCTCGCACGCGTGCGATCCGGGCGAGCCACCCGGTGGTTCCGAGTGTGACGTGTGAACCTAGACACGCGAATCGTTTCCACGAACGGCGTGTGCATTCACGTCCCGTAAAATACGGTGCTGGTGACGAGATCGTCGTCGACGAGGGTGACGATGACGGCGATGGGCACGGAGAGAGAGCGCGTGGACGAGCGTGCGAGAACAACGTGGTGAACGGGCGGCATGTTCGAGTTTTCGTCGACAACGATAATAACGGTGAGGACACTTCGACGACGACGGTGGTGGTAGAGGATTCGTACGCGACGTGTCGTCGACGTGGATAACTGCCGTTCATGTCGTCGGATGCTATTAAAGGCGCGAGAGTAAACGATCAGGAGTGGATTACGGTGATGTCAGAAAAGAATTGTCGAAGAATCCCGACGATTAGCGGACGACGACAACGCGGCTGGCACGATTGAAAGAGATGCGGTTCTTTCTAGAAATTTGCGTTCACAACGTAATAATCGCCGGCGTGCGTAACTAACGTGTATAATGTCACGATACTCGATCGAAGTAGGATACAGTGACGTCGATGGTGATAATTTGACGGAATAGAATAAAAATCGTGAGGGTAGTGAGATTATTCGCGTTAAGTAAAAATCTGTAGTGATGACAATAGCGGCGAGTCGTGAACTTGAGGGATGCTACAAATTTTGTGCGCCATATCAGTGAGAGTATGCGCTGCAGGTCACAAATATCATTGCATAAACGCAGTTCATCTATAATTTGTATCTACATCAACGACGGTGTTATTCGAGCGATTATTGTTAAAATTTTAAACCAAGCGTGATTAAAAGAGATTGTCTGATATGCAATTTGTTGCAGTGTAACGACCAATATGATTACGTAGTCGGTACGATGTGCAACTGCTGAATCTCGACACAATGATGACGTAAATGCAGATACCACAGCGTGATGGATTTCGCCAAATACATGACTTTTTAAATAAAATACTAAATGGTTAAATGTACTAAATCATTAAATGGACATCAATCATGTTTACACGAGGCTGACAATGATTCTTAAAGCACTATCACTTTTGCGCTGACGCAAGTAAGCGAAAATTCGAGAATCAAGAAAAAAATACGTAATCAAGGTCATTTCAGATAGATCTTATGATTGAATCGTAAGAATTAGTGTGAAATTTTTAAAAAAATGTCCTTTGCGAACCGTATAATAATAATTGTGCGATTGTCTGATCGAGATACGTTGCACAATAAAACTCATTTCATGAGGCATCTTAGAAAGTGGGCTTTGGTCGGAAGGAGAGTCCGTAGTCAATAACGTGCCGCCGAGTGTCCATACAGACGAAGTACGCACGATATTCGCCGGAGAATTTAATTAAGCGAGTCAAACACCCGGAATACCTACGAGCCGACCGCAAAAATTCTCGTCAGTGGCGAAGTCCATTGCATGGTCAGACGTCATCGCACAAACGTCACGAGTGGTATCGCATAACTCTGAAGTTGAAGAAGCGAGGATAAAAAAGCGCGAACATTTATTACATTAAATTTTGCGAAACATCTCATTTTCGAACGAAAGATTTACGTCGAAGAGACGCGATTTTCGTTTCTTCCGTCACGTTTTTCGATGCGGCACTCGAGAGTGCAACGCTAATCGCTGCGTCAAATGCGGTGAAATCGAGGAAAATCAAGAGATCGATCGCAAAGCGATATTTGACGACGGTCGAACGATTGCGGCAGCATCCTGCCGGCACGTGCATGGCATTAAGCGAGCCGCCGCAAACAATTGATCGCGATAATTCGATTGCCGGTGCATCTGACGCCTCAAGTTCCGGTTTTCGCCTGTCCGATATTGTATTATACAGGACGTACATAATCGCGGCTCATTAAGCGTTACGAGCCTGAACAGCGTCGACCATTTGATCGCGCCGCTTTGTTCGCCGATGATGTGACGACGAGGTACCTCTTCGCGAGTCACGTGGCCTTGACAATTCTGTACGACGAACGATTCGCTGGAGAATTAAAGACGTGCGTCGAAGATTCAAGCCGGACCGATCGCGATCCGATTTCCTCGTCTCGCGGCGATTCGTTAGCGTTTGATCTGACCAATCTCTCGTTTGTGGACCGACCGTGAAGCAATCGAGCGCGACATTTTCGGCTTGACTTGGCTCGATTTACGAGATACAAATTCGTGTAAGACCAGTCTTCCGTTCTCGTGAATCGAACGCGAAACGGAATTTTGTTGCGAGTGTGCCGATTGCCGTTACGTATTACGTATTATACCGTGTATTCGCCGTGAAAGTGCCGTACTGTGACGAAATCGTAGTGCCGTTCGTCGATTTTTGGCCGATCCGACACGTCGAGTTCTCCTCGACTAACATTCCAACGATGTGATGAAAACGGACGATGTACGCAAACAAGAATAGGTATGTTACGCACGTGTATACGTAGTTACGTCAAATTATTCTCTCTATTTCGCTGTCTCTTTCTCTCTCTCTCTCTCTCTCCGACCGAAAGTGGCGGGAGGGATCATTTTCATTACGCGATAATCTACCATTTTTCCTCAGGATACGAGTATTTGTAAGAAGCTAGTATTCTTGTCAAAGTTGAAAAATCTCGATTCTCAACGAGTTAACAAGAATGAAAATCGGGTGTGCAAAAGAACCAATAATTACAAATAAAAGTTTCAATATTTATATATGATTACTTTTCTAGAAACGCGTACTGCTGTTACATTTTTACATCCTAACTTTTTCCCATTTTGCTAGAACTTATGAGAAAAAGTTCCGAGCATTTTCTTCCGCGTAACACCTTTTTTAATGTTTTCCTATTACCTATTCTAGTACTTCTACAACATTCGTAAATTGTAAGTGGACGTTGACCTCTTCTGCAATAAAATTTAATATCGAGCTGTTTCATAATAAACCAGTAGCTTAATAATAATAGAATATATTTTTTATTCTCACCTTAAATTGCTTGTATGTATTTCGATATCTTTCTTTCACGATTTATTTGGCAAGCAACAAAATAAACTTTTTGTTGCTTGGCTGACTATAATATCTCGCATTTACTACATATTATAGTCGAACAATATAGTATCAGAGGTGACTGATTCAGAACAGCCATAATGCATTTAGTACCTTGATTGAGACTAATGCAATCGTAGCCACGTGTTCATTAGTGACAATGAATACGCAGTCGCGCGCACAGATGTAAAACGTAGTAAAAAAATTGACGGGGTTTTGCATCATTTCACTTTATTTTTGGTGAAAATAACGGGGATTCTTATAACATGCGCGACTATCTTTTCGATATTTAATTATAAAGCCATTTTCAATATAAAAAGAATATATCGTAAATTTCTTAGAATATCGTAAATTTTTTAAAATAAATATATATAAATTTCTTAAAATATATCGTATATTTCTTGAAATATAAACCTGTATGTATTATTGTAATTAAAAGTTATAATCCATGTTCATCGTTTAAAACACTGCACAATAAAAGCGCTACGTAGATGGTTGATCGAATAAAACTCGGTAACATCATGCACACTGCAGATCTTGTACTTAATGTTTGGAACTGTCGTACCTGAATATTCGCGCGTTCTCGAATATAGGATGACGGTAAATTTGAGGTCGCCCAACTATAAAGCGTAAACTCAGGCGTAACTTGCTTGTCAGACTCGCTCGTACGTACAAGAGACCAACGCGAAAAGTTCGATCGTACCGTATAAGGTCCTTTATTCGCATCAAAAACATAAAAGCGTATATTTTATTTCTCTCTTTTATTTCGTTGTCACCTGCTTCCGTCGACAGATAATCGATTCCCTTTCCGCCCTTATCTTTCTCGCCGGTCCTTTTTTCAGCGCATCCGGAGTAATTATCGGTCGCGGAAAGACCACTTAGATAATTAATGAGAAATCAAACAGTTCCTTGATCTGCGTCTTCAGCACAAAATTGTCGAGTGAATAGCTACGTCAAATCCGCTTATGGCTATATAATACCATTGAAGTACGCGGAGAATGCTTTTGGGGTTAATTAAGTGTAACACTAATGAAGACGTGAAGCAGCTTTTTAAGCAGCTTTATATTTATGCGATTTATATGAGCATAGGGACGTTTGCCGTATCCTATTGATCATGGTTTTATGAATAATTAATGACTGGAAATTTTTCGAAGCTTGGAATTTATTTGTCGTTACGTGTACGTGTTCTTGACTTCAATTATTTAAATATTAGCAAAATTAATAATATTCTAAAATGCTATTTTCCACAGAGCACAACCATATATATAGTAGTATATATATAGTTATTAAAGAGAACTACTATATATTGGATGATTGCATAAGTTCGTGCCCGATTTTCATACCCCTCTCTCTCTCTCTCCGACCGAAAGTGGCGGGAGGGAGGGTGGATACAGACTGACAATGAGAAGCGGTCATTTTGGGGTCAAGAGGATGCTGCCTTTTCGAGGGTGGCGCGATACGGGGTGGGACGCGCTGTTTGTCATTGTGTTGAATTAAGCGGTATACGAAGAGAACTATGCCCTTTAACATGCGGAAAGATCGATCTCGCGCACTCGAAACATCCGACTCTCGCAATTCGTTTAATCGAAGCCGAAGGGGATGAAATTAACCATCGTTTCATGCCTGGCGCACCTGCCTCGCGCCTTCCTTCGATGTTTGCGTTTACGCGACGAAAATGATCTAATGCGATTAACTCTCTCTTTCTGTTTTCTTGTAAATGTAAGAGTTTACAGTTTCTTTATTTCTAGGATATATAAATTACTATAAATATTTTAAATATATCAACTCAAACTTTTAGTTAAAAATTCTGCAAATTAAACCAAGTGCATTTGTGTGTTGTATTGATCTAGGATATATTTATTATTGGCAGCAAACTGTATAAATACTTGTTAACAGAAAACCAGAAAATCGTTAGAGATTAGTTTCCCTGATTTATAAATTCCCTGATACTTATTTTAGCGATCTTTTGAAATTTAATCCACAACGGAAAAGTTTTATTTTTCCATAGAGACTGTAAATATATTGCAGTTTAAAACTCAAATTGTTTCTTACAGCGCGATCTACAAAGTATCGGAAGAAATTTTCTCATAAATTGCGGCGGCAACCTAATTTTGACCTAATATTGGCATACTGTTCTCTTAAATGCGATGGTTCGGATTGACAAAACGAAATCGAGGTACTGCTTATTAACTTTGCGTTCAAAGAAGCAGAAGTGGCGCGGGATGCAAATCGACGATTCAGACGGAACGAAACTCGATTGAAAGCAACCACGGACCGCCGTTTCATCATCAGCCCTTTATTGACAAAGGTTCTTCTCGTACTACTTTTCGCAAATACTCGCGCTTCTCACTTTTCGCTATCAGACTTTTTTATCCCAATCTTTAACCTTTAATATACTTCAACGCGATAAAATATTTAAACGCGTATCGTTTCCTATGGTTATCGTCAATCGCATTGTTAAATTTAATCCTATGTTTGTCAATAATACTTGATGTCAATGATAAATATAGGTTTTTACGGTTCCATATGTAGATCAGTCTCCACTGATGCATATAATTATTGATATTGTGTGAAATTCTCCATGGGTTTAGCATGATGGTAAAATAATGCAAAATACAATAATCGATCCAATGAATAATAAGCAAGTAAATGTAATCAAAACATATATTATATCGTGCATAAATTCTATAATAATAATTGCGAAATGTGATTAGAGTGTTACACAAACAATAATTATTAGATATAGGCTGTAACAATTTTTTTTCTGCGACTATATTCCTACTTGTCTTTCTTTCATAAAATTTCAAAACAAAGCACGACGATTGGACAGACTAATCGTTACTGATCAGAAGAAAAGTCAAACACCTTTACGATGTTGCGACATTCTCGAAGGCATTAACTGTCACTTAATGGCCGATAGCCGATACCTCGACATTTGCCCTCCTCTCATGCTTGCGATGTACGTGCTTGTAGATCGAAATGGATTGGCGTTAACACTTCCGACAATTAGAAGCAATGGTCTCTCTCTTCACCGAAGGTTGAGCGCGAGCAATCATTCAATTGCAAAAACATCTTATTGATAGTTGAAAATTTTAAAATACAAAGTTGTGCAATTAGTAGATATTAATTGAATAGGGTACTTAATACACTGAATGTTATCCGAGCAAAATGTCAATTCATTCATTAAATTTTTTAAATTTCTCCTTATAGAAAAATATCTTATTTGCGTATAAAGTTACTATGTATTTTAGTATCTTATTAATAATTTAATATATAATGCATTGTTCACATCTATTACTGCTTAACATCAGGTATTATAAAAATAGTGTATAAACAAATTTTTGTTTGATAGTTTATCCCGCAACTTACAATGGTTATCTTTTAAAAGACATCGCGCGCATTCAAGTTTATTATTAAGCATTATACCATATTTATTTTCCACATGTCATCACCATATCATTTTAGTATTACCTGATTGTACATGTAAATTAATTTTCCGTTCGCTCATTGTAATTGAAATTGTATCAAACCGAGCGCTTTAAAAGATGACGAGGATTGACAGTGATTTGTTGTATGCGTGTATACGAACATATGATATTCGTCACGTGTTTTCCGTGGAACGTGAACGTCAAACATCAGATAGCAAAATAATTATGCAACAGTTTTAATCATCGCGTCATCGATGCAACGCACGGGGAGAATATATGTGTGCAAAGTTATTAAAACAAATCAATATTGCCGCTCTTCACGAATTAACGTTTCGTCAAAGTCGAACGTGATAATTTCGCATAAAATGCATTTATCTGAATTGACAGATGTCGAGATATCAATAATTCACGAGTGGAATAAATAAATATTTGTATGTAAAAAATATATTTATGTCATATAATACATTGTGCGCATTTCAAATAGAGATTTGACAGCAATTTAATGACAATTCGAAATCATCCTCCCCTTTTTATATATTACGATATATACGCCGAACCCTTATAGCACGAAACGAGCCAATTAGGCTATTAACATAGCCTATTGACCAATTATTTTTGAAATATGTACATCTCGTCGCTTTGCCGGATGAGGGAAACCACATTTACCTACCATCCGCAGTCAGAATTGCCGCTTGTAAAACTCGTGAGAAGATGAATCGCTCGGGGCATTTTCTGACGCGGATATTCAGGTATAACAAGTCAAACAGCAAAAGAAAGTGGGAGAGAAGTATTTTATCGCATCGATTGAAATTTATATATATGGCAGTTATATATATATATATATATATATATGTACAGCGCCTAACTACGAAATATCTCGCCTACATCGATCCTTTTTTTGCCGGTCATATTTTTTTCAATATACGCAATTACTACCCATTCCTTCGCGCGTGTTCCGTTTTTTAGTAGATC